GAAAAGAGAATTAGTAAATTGGACAGGAATTTAATCTCTATTTGGATTTTGAATGTGTCATATATTTCAGATGTTGGCTCTAAAATCCTGATTTTCAGTTCCAATATTTAAATCTTTGGCACCATCTCACTTCCATGTGGAAGCTTTGTACTTCTGCTTCCGATGTTTAACATAAATTTATTCTATTCATCAGAGGCCAGCTTTTATAGGAGAGTGGCATATAAGGGACTGTCACTCACAATATATGTTTTTAAGATGGAATGGTCTGTTTTGGCCAGATTTAATTTTGACTCCCAGTAGACAATGGGCACTGAAGTAATTTATCTCTCAGCTTGCTAGGGGAAGCTTTAAATTTCAGCAAGCGGCAGTATTATATTAGCATGGAACATTTGGGTAAATTTGTTTGGAGGAGATAATAAATAACTAAACTACTTGGTTAAAAATCAGAAACAAAACAATTTGTTCTTGTCATCTGGTGGTGCTCAAATGATGAAAAATAGCTCTCTCAAGGTTTCAGTAATCTTGAATCTGGTTTGAGGCCGTTGCTGGCTTTATCCTATCATATTGCATGTAATACCCTAAAATCCACTAAAAACTTTTGTATTGGAGTGTAAATCCCTTCCAAGATGATGATGTTTAATAATTTTCATGAAAACATCTAGCCAGAATGATAGTAGAAAAATGAGATGACTCAGTTTTGTATTCTGTGCCTATGATAATTAGCTTATATGCCATCATTTTAAAATATTAAAGGATAACTGACATAACTCTATTTTCTGGAAGAGGGATTGAGGGAGTTTTGAGCGGTAGGATAGGTGACTGAATGAGAAACACACACGCACACACACACACACATGCACATCCACACATGCTTGAATTGATTAGAAATAGAAGAGGATGTTTTAGCTCTGCGAAGTTCTTAACTGTCATCTATTTTGAAACCTCAGAAAAGTTCGGTTTGTGTGGTCATGTCATCCGACAATGACAAGAGATAGTCTTCAATTATAGCAGATCAGAGCAACTGACTCTGATATTCTGGCCACTTGTGTATCAGGAAGGTGAGGAACTTGCTTCTTACAGTCAGGGCACAGTCTGCATTTTTATTTCTCCGTAACAGTACAGAGTGAGGCCACCGAAGTGTTGTTGAATAAGTGACATGTGGCTCCCTCTGTTGGTTGGGAGACCCCAAAATCTCCTTGTATACAGTCTAAGTGGGACGGAGGCAGGGGACCCTGTAAAGGAAGAAAGAATTCAACTGATACCTCCTCTTTCTTTTTTTAAATTCTTCCCTCCTCAGGCCATTTAATTGTTTTTTATACAATTTGGTCTCCTAACTTTCTTTTAGCACAGTGTTAATTTTAACCGACATTCGCTCCTATAAGACACCAGAACACAAGAATCGGGTTAATTCAGTGTGGATGGCCCTTTATGCCTGAGAATTATCTTTTATCCCAATCCTGTTGGGATTGGGTTTGGATATATTTTGAGCAATTTGATTTCAGACTGATGTAGTTTAACATAGCTACACATGTCATGTGTTTTTATATAGCAGAAGAGATAGCTATAAATGAATATGATAGGAAAGAGAATTATGCCTTTACCAAATTAGACTCTTCCTCAAGCTTATATTTAAAATTCTTTCTGAGCCACTCTTCAACCCTAAACAAAAGCCACAATAAAGTAAATAATTGTAATTCTCTGTAAGAAAGCATGAGGAACTGAGAGTGGACAAATTATTTATACGTGGTTATACAAATTAAATGTTCTGTGAATTTTTGCCATTAATTTCAGTCTCACACTGCCATGTAAGTGTGCTTACACTTGACAAATTCAATGCAGCGACAGTTTCCCCAAATCCTGATGCCCTACATAGATTTATGCTTATGGAAGGGGATCAGTTGAACTTTTCTGTTAGGTAAAATCAGGGAATAGATGAAATGTGCATGCTCTCCCTGCAAAGTTTAGGGTTAGAGAAACACATATGGGTGAAGAAGAAATTTTGTTTGAAGACAGTGGACTTAATCAGTTGCAATTCCATTATGGTCTTTGTTCTCCTATTAAGTCATGACAAACTGCCTAAGAACATGTAATAATTAGCTACTTTTTTTTTTAAGATTTTATTTATTTATTTGACACAGATATAGAGAGAGCGCATGCACAAGCAGGGGGAGCGGCAGGCAGAGGGAGAGGGAAAAGCAGGCTCCTCGCTGAGCGGAGATCCACCGGGGCTTATTCCGAAGGCAGACACTTAACTGACTGAGCCACCCAGGAACCCCTAAAGGAAGCTTTTTAAAAGTAGAAATATAGGGACACCTGGGTGGCTCGGTTGGTTAAGCAGCTGCCTCAGGCTTGGGTCATGATCCCAGCGTCCTGGGATCAAGTCCCAGATCGGGTTCCTTGCTGGGCAGGGAGCCTGCTTCTCCCTCTGCCTCTGCCTGTGTTCACTCACTCTCTCTCTCTGACAAATAAATAAATAAAATCTTAAAAAAAAAAAAAGTAAAAGTAGAAATATAAAATATCCCAGTTACAATGAGATATGGTTATTGTATATGCAGTATAATTTTATGACTAGGGTATTGGTTTTGTTTTCCCAGTTTACTTAATAGAAAAATAAAATGAGTTTTGAGGATCTTGTGTCTTCTGGAGTCTAGAAAGCCTTGTGCAAATGCATAAAATTCAAATAAATTTTGCAGAACACATTTGCATAAGTTTTAGAAGCAATATAGAGTTTCTAGAAGAGAAGTAATAGGATTTTGCATAAAATATAGTGTAGTAACAAGAGGAAAAACACTTGAAAAATTCTCAAACTTAGATTTTCTTCCTTTTAATTTTTATTTCAGGCACACTTTATTGTAATAGAATCAAAATACATAGTTTTAGTTAAAATTAGCATTTTGTTATCATACTTTATACTCTTTTGACATTGTGTGTGATACTCTTAATTTTAGATTTAATTAAATTCTTTTTTGTTTATGTGACCCTGTGCCACATATAAGGAAAAAAAAAAATTAAACAGTTTAGTCCATTCGCTCTAGTACCATGGGGCAAATGTAAGTCTAAACATATTAGTTGTTTTATATAATTGATCTGTGTCTGTTATTTTATCTAAAGGATAAGGGATAGTTATATTTAACTTACTTTGCATCTCTCTTGGAACAGGAGTGTGTGCATATAGATATTTAATGAATGTTTGTTGAAAATAATGATGTTGAATCACTTAAAATTTAATGCAGTTTCACCTTGTTTTCTACATTTCAGTTCTATAACTATGAGGAAGGAGTTGGCAGAAATAAAGTCTAAAATGAAGATAAACTTATTCAATATTTTATCTTTTGATGGAATCCACATTTTAAGTTGAAAATTGTCTCCTAAGTATAAATTACAGAGTTGCAAGAGGGATCAATACACTAGTAATTAGATTTGGGCCTCTGGTGGATTCAGAAGATTCTCTTGCTTTGTGTATGTGATGAATTCTGATTTTGTGTTTTAACTTTGTCACAAAATTAATCTGTAAGAAATGCTTCAGGAAGTAGAACTTTTATGCGTGTTTAAATTCTTTAGCTACTTAGTTCTTTTTAAAAGAATTAATTAAATGGTAATTTTTAGAGCTGTTGATTCTAAATGAAATGAATTCAAAGTCATGGTTTCATTCACTATCATGAAGTATGTGTTCTTTTATTTATTAATACAGTTTTTGATTTATTTGGTCTTAGAGCAATCTTTTATAGAACTTCAGGCTCATGATATATTTCTCAAATTAAAAAAGGGAGACAGATTTGGCAGCAATTAAATTGGAGAAACACAACAAGATCTGTCTTATTCTTGAAAATGTATAATGTACATTCATATACTGAGACTCAGGAGCCAAAAAGAGAAGGTTTTAACTTCATTGTTTATTCTAAAGTCATATGGCCATGGAATGTCTTGAAGAACTAGTGATTTGTAGTGGAGGTGATGTGTATTTTAAGAAGCACTGATTTATTGAGTTTTTTGGAGGAATTTTCTTTTTAAAAATGTGTATTGCATTTTCTTTTAATACAGTTTTGGAGTGTCCATGTTTTTGATGTTAAAGAGACACAGAAAAACATGTTTTTCACATTGTCCTCTGATTACTACTGAAAATGTATGGTAGATGGATTATATTTTCCAATCAGTTCAGGAGAAGAAAGGAAAAATAAATTAGTATAAGTGGATTATTTTAACAGTGCATAGAACTAACCTTGAAGTCTCAAAGAATAAAACTTTTAAATTCCTTGACCACCATTTTGTTCATTCTTTCCTTTCCATTTTCATTCTGTAACACGATTTATATCCGTAATTTATAGTTTTGGCGTATTTCAGCAACACTGGTGGCTGGCAGAAATGTCTGGATACATTTATTCTTGAAAAGCCAATGCTCCTTCACCACTTTGGGAGAATATGATAGTATCAGTGTGTTAGATAATCTGATTTTTTTTGCTGTCTAAATTCAATTATTCCTGATCCCTTTTCTGAATCTCATGAAGAAATTTCTGCCAGTACCGTCCAGATACACCCTGCCTTACTAATTTCAACATGTGATATATATAATTTTAAAAGTCGCATTGTCAGCGAAGTATTAAAAAGGCGCATTCTCACATTTTTCTTGAATTATTCTGTTTATAATTTCATGATTTAGGGATCCGTGTGTGTGTGTGTGTGTTGTAAGTATGTATGTATATAACTTCTTTGCATCATGCATTCTTTATTTTTTCTTGACAAATGGGTCTCAGACCTATACTGAGATATTTTTTCCTCAGTGCAGAATGTACTTTTCAATATCACAGATACAGTGTTTTAAAATGTTTTTAGAAAATATTGGCTAATCTTTATGGATCTTTGTGGAGTATTTTATGAGAAGAATATCATGAGAGGTTTATTATTTAAAATATGCCTAAAATGTGTTCAGTGCTTGATCCAGTATATTTTTACATTTTTACTCATGTCAGTAAAGCACTCTTCTTTTCTTTTTTTTTTTATAGAGCAATGAAGTTGTCTACTACAATGCAAAGGATGATCTTGATGTGAGTATTAAAAGTTTCACATTAAATTTCAAGATAAACTGATATGCACTATGATGACTGGCATTACAGAACAAGCTGACCTAGCAGGTTGAGTTTTTCATAAGACGTTCTATAGCGTTAAGCAGTATTACTGGTTGGCCCTAACAGGGTAATGATGAATCTTAGGGCTTATGTGATCTTTATCAAATTATACTGGGCGTCTTCTGGGGTGGAAACACCATGTGTCTCTCTGGATCTGAACTCTCTCTGTCCCTGTCCAGACCTCAGTCCATTGCACTGGCTCGGATACCCTGCACTCTGTTAGTCATGTGGCAGACTGAGGTTGGGTCCCATCCATCTCTGTCGCCCAACTCTTGTCACCCGGGTTACAAGGCAGGTCTCCTCTAGCCTGACCTGAACACACACCAGGGGGAACCCTTATTTCCCCTAGAGTGTGAATGACACCCTAGAAACGGTGCACCAGCTGGACTTGCCCAGCCAATTTTTGAAGCCTAGTGTGTGTTCAGTCTGCCTTTTTAAACCGATGACTGTCATGTACATACTCAGATGATGTTCCAACATGGATTATTTTAGCACAGAGAAGTTACTTTTTAGGATGCCACCTTTGGACAGACTTCTGGGAGATGTTGTAATTACTTAGCTATGGCGGAAGCATTTGCAAAATTACAAAACAAAATTTTACGCTTAAGTTCATTTAAATTCTCATATCTGTGACTTTTCTATTGGGGAAAAGTATGTATATGCACTAACGAATGTCTCCAGAAATGTTTGTTGAGGGCTTCTTGTGTTTTCCGTGTTCTTCCGTGAGCTTGGAGTGATCAGTGAACAAGTAAACAAATATAAAAAATATATATTATTTTTTATTCACTTTTTAATCTGAATCAAAAAATATGTGTGTATGCTACTTTATTCCGGCTACTTAAGCTGGCCTTCAAAAAATCTTTAAAAACAATACAAGGTAGTTTGCTTAAGATGCCACATCTTTCCAAATCGCACTACTGCTTCTGCGGAACCTTCATAGTTTACTGAGCACTAATTTTCCCTGCATGCTGCTAACCAGTCTACACAAATTGTTTTATTTAATTCCTATGATGATGCTATGAAGGAAGGAGGAGATTATGTTTTCTTCATTTAATAAATGAAGAACTAGGATTGTTTTAAAAAGTGTTTTCTTTTGGGGCACCTGGGTGGCTCAGTGGGGTTGCGCCTCTGCCTTTGGCTCAGGTCATGATCTCGGGGTCCTGGGATCGAGCCCCACATCGGGCTTTTGCTCAGTGGGGAGCCTGCTTCTCCCTCACTCTCTTTGCCTGCCTCTCTACCTACTTGAGATCTCTCTCTCTGTCAAGTAAATAAATAAAATCTTTAAAAAAAAAGAAGGTGTTTTCTTTTTACTAGCCATAGGTGTTTTGCTGCTGCTTTTATGATAACAGTTATCCTTTTATGATAATTATATATATATCATTTTAATGAGGTAGGAGGTTTATTAAGGGCAAACCAACAGCTAAGAAAAAATGTTTTAATAGTTTATTAATGGGATGAGGAGGCACCCGGGTGGCTCAGTCTGTTACGGGTCTGACCCTTGATCTCAGTTCAGGTCATGATATTGATGGCTCAGGTCTGGAGATGATGAAACCCAGCTCTGGACTCTGGGCTCACCGGGCAGTCTACTTGACATTCTCCTCTCTCTTTCCCCTTGCCCCTCCCTCCCTGCTCTCACTGGCTTTCTCTCTCTCTCTTTCTCTCTCTCAAAATAAATAACTCTTAAAAAATAGTTCATTTTTTGGTGTTAGAATGAGTATTATTTTTCAACAGGCATTTTGTTTCACTGTTAGGATTAGTATTTAATATTTAAAAGTTATGTGGTTGTTTAAAATGCATATGCTAAGTTTCAATCAGCCTTCCTGGTGCTACACGAGTTATAGCTTTTTAAAAAGCAGTTAGTTTGTAAAACTATGACAAAGATTTCATGGTAATTAAAGTGGATGGATTGACATGCTTGGTCCAGTCTGCGAATTGAGTGTTGCCTAAAGATGATGATACCAAATTGCAAATATGTTTTTCTTTCCTCTAAACTAATTAAAGAAGTCCAATTTTTGATGTCAGTTAAAACAGGTTTTTTTTTTACTCAAGTTTGCTCCTTAATTAGAAAGTTCTTTTATTTTGCATAGAAATTGTGAGTTTTCTATGCTCCAGATTTTAATAATCATAGGCACAGTTGGAGATGTAACTTTTTAGGGAGTCCCACCCCAGTTAGTACTCAGTGGTATCATTGAGTAGCTCAATAGTCAAATTCATAGTATTCAATCACTATGCTGCGAAGTTAGCAATACGTCCCTTATAAATGGAAAAGTGTGCGTGGGGCGAGTACTGCTAACACTTGAGATGTGCTCAGCACTCTAGGTTCATAATTTGCCTGCATGGATCTTTATTCATATATTCAAATAAAAGCCTATCTAAGAGAGAAAGGGATTAGCGCAAGTGAACCTAGTGAACTTGCCGTGTGTTTGTTTTTTCTTTTCTTTTCTTCTTCTTTTTTTTTTTTTTAAATTTTTTTTATTTTGCCTTCTTCCATCCCCAAAAGTCTATATTATTACCATGGGTTATAAATATACCCATAAAAAAGATTCATTCTTGTAGGCCAAGAAATGAGGTTTAGCAAGTTAAATCAAGACTCTATAAAAAGCAAAATATCAACTTTAGAATTTAAAACTTAAAAATGGTGCCCAGAAAAGAAAAAAAGAAATGATGCTCAGGATTTGGAGAAACTATTTTCACTTCTTTATATATAAATAAGAACAGTGCCAGAATAATTTACAGAGAATATTGCATAGGGCTAGGATAGGAATCGGAGACTTCGGTTCATGCTCTGTTTCACCCTTAAAATTGTACTCACTCGTAGGGCATGAAAACTTATTAAAATTGGAACTGTTTGCCTCTCTCCTAAGACATGCTCCAGGTGATGAGGTGATCTACACATTTCATTGCAGTTCAGAATATTCTTGGAATACTGCTTGCGGGGTCAAAATTGCTGGGAAATTTTACTATTTCATGTAAATCTTTTGAGAACTTATTAAGAACTGGAAGGTAATTTATATTGCACTAAAACTTTTTATTGGGGAAGATTAAAGTGCTTTAGATATGATAATACTGTTGCTCTTGTAAACCCTTAGACATTGAATAAAAATGAACCACATTTAATGACTGGTGTATTGGTTTGGCTCTTAGAGAGATACCTAAAGTAAAAGGGACTACAAGAAGACAAAAGTTTCTTCTTGTCTCATGTACTCATTCGCATCTACTCATATATGGCCTATTGGAGTGAGTCTCAATCTTCTGGGTCCCAGGGTCCTTCTTTCAAGTTTTCTCCCCTCCTCAGTGAGCTTTTTCATGTTGGGATCCAAGATGGGTGCTCCAATGTACGCAGTGATTTTTACATTCTAGAGAACAGGAAGGAGGTGAGGGTATGTTTGGAAATCGTGGACATCACTTTTATCTGCCTCCACTGTGCACAGGTTAGGACCCAGCCTCGCCGGTGTGTATCACAAATGTGGAATATAATCCTCACCCCCAACGTAGGCATGTACCCAAACAAAATAGAGGGTTCTGTACTAAAGAGAGACCAAAGAAAATACTAATTGCAAAATAATTAGCAGCGTATGAACTGATCCGTCATTTGGTCTTCTTGACATTTTGAAGCTAATTCCAAAATTCTACTCACTTATCTGAGTGGCTTCTATCATTTAACTATAGTCAAATCCTTCAACTTTGGAACTGAGGAAAAAATTCTTTTTTACAGTAAATGTATGTAAAATTATATGCTATGTATTGAGTATTATTCAGTTTCCCCAATGCATGTGTTTTGATCACTACGATCAAATTATTTTCTGCAGTGGAAGTACTTATTTTCTTACAATGAAAGAAAGTTATTTATAAATGTAAGTAAAAGTTGCACCTTGATAATCTACTTTAGACTTTTAAGTAGTTACATATTTTTTTGAAGATTGTTGCTTATCTCATCGATGAAGTTGGACTTCCACGGATGATGAAATTTATAAATCTTACCAAAAGTTTTCCAATGGAGGTGGATTTAATTGGTTCCTATACTCATAATTTCATACATGTAGTGTTTGATATTTTATATCTCAAAAGTTCACAAATCCTAATGCCATCACATTGTTTTGGTTCAAAATGGCTTGCCGTCATAGTTCTTTATCCTAGATTTAGTCTATACTGATTTAATTGTGTACGGTATTTTTATTGCTCAATTCCATGAAGCCACATCCTTTATTAAAAATTGGTGATTGGAAATTACAGAATGGGAGTTTTATCTCACACATCAGCGTTAATCTCTAATGAACAAAAGAACACTTTGGAATAGTAAATACTGAGATAACATTTCAATTAATAAATTTGTCCTCATTGTTTGAATGAAAGTATAAATGTTTGAGAGCTAAATAAAGTTTCTGTTTTAAATGTTATGCCTCCTGAAGGAGACTGAAAGATTGTAAATCCTGAGCCTATGATTATGATTTTTAACTTTTTCCCTATTTCTGCATTAATATCATCGTGCCTATTGGGATAGTGGTCATTTTCTCTATTTTCTGCCTCTCACATAAATCATTTCATTTCCATGTTCATGACGATTGAATGATTTTAGACATTATTCTCAACTATTTATTTAAGGGCTGTTGAAATGGTATCACCTTTTATTTTATGCTTCTAAATTATCTATGTACCTTTAATATATTACGCACTATTAATATCTACATATTTCTAAAATGTTACATCCTAATTCTTTTTTGATTCCTGAGATCTTCATATCAGTTATTATTGCCTTTGTTTGATATTTAAGACACTGATGAGAGCTTACTAGTTCTTTCCTAAGCTATCATGAATTTTGCAAAGAAATGGCAGTTTCTCCTTGGAGGCACAACCAGTCTTTATAAACTATTCCCTTGGTGTCCTTGCCTAGAGTATAACTTCCTGGAGGGCAAGCTCCT